AACAGAGCAGTCCTAGAACGAGCTGGAATTTTCAGCATGAACACATTACTGAAACAGCGACGTCTACGTTGGCTCGGGCACGTCGTGAGAATGGCTGATGGTCGGATTCCAAAGGATCTCCTCTATGGAGAATTAGTGCAGGGAAAGCGCCCCAGAGGGAGACCACAACTGCGATACAAGGACATCTGCAAGCGAGATCTGAAGGCCTTAGGAATAGACCTCAACAGATGGGAAAACCTGACATCTGAGCGTTCAGCCTGGAGGCAGGCGGTGCATCACGGCCTCTCCCAATTTGAAGAGACCCTTGCCCAGCAGGCCGAGGCAAAGAGGAAGTCACAAAAGCAGCAAAACCAGGGAGCCGGACAGGGGACAGACTGGATTTGTCTTCAGTGTGGAAGGGACTGTCACTCTCGAATTGGCCTTCTCAGCCACACTAGGCGCTGTTCCAAGCCCTCCATACAGAGCATGCTACCATAGTCTTTCGAGACTGAAGGATGCCTAACTAATGGAATGTCTTTATGCCTTTGTTACTGGGGAAAGGGATTAAAAATAATTTGTCATTGGTAACTCCTTACTTCCAAATTCTTCTCTACATCCCCAGTCTTACATACACTTTACCAATAAGTAGATAAAATGTGTGGTGTGTGCATGTTTTTTACAGGATACAGCAGCGTTATCTATTGGGATGCAGAGGCCATGAAGTCATACTATGGGATCTTGTGACTGATGGACTGGCAATCCACCCCAGTAAAGACTTTTAGAAAAAATTCCTGGTTCATTTTTAAATTGCTGAAAAAATACCTGTTTCTCTAAGTTCATGCATATGTAGTAGCAGAACTGACTGCCATGATTCACAGTAATCAGTTAAAAAGCAATCAATCAAAGAAAGGCTTTTAAAGGTGCAAATGAAAATGTGGAGCATTTGGGTTAAATGCACAGTTGTAAGGTTTTAAGAAAGTGCATTATAGGATGTTGCGCATTCTCAGTTCTATTGTATAGCATGGAATAATGGGCTTTAATTATAAGAAACATCTGAGCATATGAAATGTGAATTTATCACAGAGCAATAAGAATTTCTTGGACCAAGAAGGTAGCCAGGTTAGAAGTACTAAGACTAAGGACCAAGAAATCATAAAACTCATAAAAAGCAGAAAGTAGCATACTTTAGTGCAACGTTCCCTGCAATTTTCTGTCAGTACTGGGTGGGTCCCCCAACCCACACACGTGGATTTCCGGCCATGACTGGAGCCAAATGGTCAGCAACACTGGCTGTGGCTGTGTGGCCCTGATGCAGCACTGTGCAGCCACACAGCTGCGCGACTTGGAGGGAATGTTGCTTCAGTCTTATAATGCAAATCAGGAAGTACCAATTTGTTACAGCTGATCATTCAAAATAAAAATAAGCGGGAGGAAATTAATGCAGGAAGGGGTCTTATTGGTTGAAGAACTTTGGCAAGTGATTTGGAATGCGTGCAACACAATATAAAAGTGCCACATCTGAAGTCAGAATAGCCTCAATGATGTTCACCCTCCAGGGGGAGAGGAATGAGAAGCATCACAAATAATCATCTTTAGAATTCTGTCTATATGAAGAAATGGGACACGCCCAAATTATATTCTTGCAGACATGGAGATACCCTGTTTTCTCAAAAATAAGACCTAACCTGAAAATAAGCCCTAGTATGATTTTTCAGGATGCTCATAACATAAGCCCTACCCCCAAAATAAGCCCCAATTAAGTGAAACCCCACCCTCCACCATTGTGCAGCATTGTGAAACAACCAGAAGATGGCATGACTGTATTTGAATACATGTAGATTGTTGTACATTAAAAAAAATCCCCTGAAAATAAGCCCTAATGCATTTTTTGGATAAGAAATTAATATAAGACCCTGTCTTATTTTCGGGGAAACACAGTATGTGTTCAATTATCAAAGACCAGTTTGGTATATCACAACAAGCCATGCTTGCAATCAGATAACAGGCACTGAGATACATTCCAAATATATTTTCGTGGTTCATGATCAAACACCCTTGGTCTAATTAGCTTCATGTACTGGCATTAATATTGCCATAAATATGCTTTTGCAAGTTGCAACACAGCTGCCCAGCCCAGTTCGGTGTAGCACTGAAACTGGATGAGAAGAATAACAAATAGGACTATCCATCACATCTATAGAATCTCATAAAACAAATGTGGACTTCTGCCACAGGGTCTACTGGAATTCTCAACATGCTTATTTGGATGTAGATCATACAGAAATTAATGAGCAGGTCAGTATGTTTAGAACAGAGATGATGGGTTCCATTGTACACATAGCTTCCAGAATGTACTCTCTGTTAATATTTAAAGCAGAAAGTCATTTTGGATTTATCTGCATATCCCAGCATGATATGCAATAGGCCAGCAAGGATTTGACCAGAACATAGAAGTTACTTTTTTGAATACAGACCCTAGCCAGCCATTCCAGTGGGAATTGTAGGTGAAGCAATAGGTCTGCCAAACTCTACTTGTAACTCCCAAATGTTTAACAGTAGCTACATTAAAATGTCCTTGCTCTGTTGCCTATTGTGTTGATTTCCAGCCTGGTCCTGTCCATCTCACAGTGCTTTTATCTTGGCAGCAGAAATGCAAAACCATTTACTGATACCTAAAGTTGGTGAAATCGTAGCCTGCTATCAAGAATAGGAAATCTCTTGTCCATGGGCATGCAGGTATCTCCCCATCCTTTACCCCCACCCTACAATTTCTTTGTTTTTATTGTTGTTGTTGTCTTGTTATTGGTGATCAGAAGATATTTAAATCCTGTATATTGGACATACCCTGGATGTCTGAGGTGTAGTTTTCAGCAGAGGAAGCCATTACGTGGAGCAGTGTCAGCCACAACCACAGTTCCAAGGAAACTGTCGCACAGAGGGATGTTTCTTAGTAGACCTTCACAGATGTCAACAGTGCTTTATATGGCTGATGGAAAAAAGCCCCAATAGGCAAGAGTTCCATCCCTCCTCAGTCCACTCTCTTTGCTTTGGCCCTACCTTGTGTCCTCATCCCCACTCAATACTGGAACATGGGCTCTTAGCTTCTTCCCAACTTGAAAGTATGGCTCTCACGCCAAAAGAAAAAAGAAAGAAAAAACTGTCCTGTTTCAGCTTCATATCTTGCTTGGCAAACTCTATTATCAACACCTGTGACTCGTGCTGCTTTCTTTTCTCTGCATATGTGGGGTGTGGTAGGGCTGTGTTTTCATCCTGTTGGATGACCCTCCCCTGCCATTAGTTGGTTTCCTACAGGCAAAGATGTCAGACAAGGGTGCATTTTACCCCTATCTGTTCAAACTGTACACAGAATGTATATATCTGTGCACAGAAAATCAGACCGGATTCAGTACAGAAAGTCAGACTGGATTCAGATGAAGGAGTTGTGAAAATTTAATTTAAGACATGCAGACGAAACCATCTTATTGGCAGAAAGCAGCAATAACGTGAAACAACTTTTATTGAAAGAGCAAGATGAAAGTGCCAAAGCAGGACTGCAGTTGAATATTAAGAAGATCAGAATCATGACTACAGATGAGCACTTTAACAATGATGATGAAGAAATTGAAATAGAGATCTTATACTGTATACCTTAGTTCAATCATCAATCCAAATGGAGACTGCAGCCAAGAAATCAAATGACTGAGTCTAGAAGGGACAACCATGAAGGAATGAAAAAAAAATATCAAGTGTAAGGATATGTCACTGGAGGTCAAGACCAAGCTCATCCACACTCTTGTAATCACCATATAGGGGTGTGAAAGCTGGACAGTAAAGAAAGCTGATAGGAAAAAAGTTGATTCATTTGAAATATGCTGCTGGAGGAGAGCTTTGCTGATACCTGGGACTACCAGAAAGACTAAGAAGTGGATCCTAGAGCAAACCAAGCCTGAACTATATCTGGAGGCAAAAATGCTGAAGCTGAGGCTGTCCTACTCTGGGTGCATCATGAGAAGGCAAGATTCTTTGCAAAAGACAATAATGCTGGCAAATGTGGAAAGCAGCAGAAAAAGAGGAAAACCAAATATGGAATGGGTTGGCGCTCTAAAGAAAGCCACTAGATTGAGTTTACAAGAGCTGAGCAGGGCAGTTGAGGCCAGGACATTTTGAGCTTGCTCATTTACAGGGTTGCCATAAGTCAGAAGTGACTTGACAGCACGTAACAACATCCATACAAAGGGGTATTATCCATGCACTACACTCCCTCCACCATGATTTTCAGTGCACACTTGTACATGTCCAGGTGAGTGGATTTGTCTACTCCTTGCAATACAACTTCAAGGAAGGCTTTGCGGGTTTAGCATGGGATAGAAATGCTTTCTTTAATGTTTTGTATAGATTTTTCTGGTAAAAATGTTTGAATAGAAATGTTTTTGTACTTATTTGATAATTCTGCCAGACACAAATCTAGCTCCAAATAACTATTTAACCAAGCAATCTCTTTAACTAATAAAACATAAATGTGGGAGCGTGTAATAGCCCTCCTGATCCTTTCTGTTATGGCATTGAGCATTCCAATGTATTTGCCTTCACAAATGTTTTAACAAGTCTTCAGTTACCTTCTGAAAGCCAAGGATTGTACAGCCACAGAATCCTGTGCTGCAACTGCTGTTGGGCTGTACCATCTTAGATTCCAGATGAGATGCAGCTTGTTTGAATGTCCCACCATACACCTCTCCTCCCCACTCCTAGCTAGAGGAAACTACCATACTAGAGAAAACACTGTGTGACTTTTCCATTCATCCACTGGAGTGATGGAGGTGAATTCTTTTATTCACCATAATTCCCATTGGATTCTTATAAGAGGAAACGGAAAAATGTTGCTACATACATTTAGGACTAGTGAGAGACTCTTTTTTAAAATTCTGTTTCTATTTTTGCTTCTCTTTTTATTAATCAGTTGTTAATTATTTTAATAACATGTGAAAAAGAACATTATATAAGTTACATACACTAAAGGGGACCCAAGAGAAGATTCTATAAAATAATTTAGATGCATTAAATAAATACAATGTAATAGCAGCCTTCTACAATGCAGGCTACATAGAGGTTTACTTCGGCTGGAAGTACCCTGGTCTTTAGTACACCTACAGGAGCAGATCAGCTCCAAAAAGTGTTTTAAAGAGACATATCTATAAGATACATATAAAAGAGGGTCTAAGGTTAGAAAGAAGGTTCTTCCAAGACATTTTTACCATGGTCTCCACATGTCTAGCGACCCCATGCTAATACCATGGTGGGCCATATGAGGGTGCAAAGAAGATGACAACTCGCGCTGACTACAACGTGAGGGCAGTTTGGGGCAGAAGGCCTTTTTTGATCCCCGTTTGTCTTCAGTGGCATAGAATTGATCCTGAGATTGGCCGGACTCTGCTGGATTTCCCTTGCCACTCCCAGGGACAGAAGTACCCATATCAGCCTTGCAAGTTTCCTCACTAGACCTGGGCAAGGATTTCAGGAGGTGATTCAGTAGCCGTGCTCCGAGGGTCTTATCCATCCATTCACAGGTCAGGAGGAGGTTGTGGACTTCATGCATACACTGAATATATCCAGTGCTGTATCTCTGCTGAGCTTCCAGGTCCATTTTCGAATCTGCTGAAAGAAAATAGGAGATTCTTTTGGTCATCCCTCTTTATACATGTCTTAATCTGGTCATAATGTGAGAGTGACTCAGGAACAAGCTCCGGTTCTCTAGATTTTTATTTGATAACCTTTTCTGATAATACTGGATGTTATTCTGAAGCTATGAATGTGGTAGTGGGATCCTCTTTTAGATCATGTGTAGCAAGACTGAGAAGCAGTGGCCCTCCAGATCACTTGGCAACACCACTCATGATCTCATATTGCAGCTTGTGCTAGGTGAGGCTTTGGGGGCCTGAAATCCAAAGCAACTGGAAGACCAAGATATACCTGTACTGATGTTGAACTGGGGTGGGCAACATGTGGCCTTTGGGCCTTTGCAGTTCAAAAGCATCCGAGTAACAAAGGTTAAGAACCACTGCTCTAGGGGATAGAATCAGAATTATACATTTGAACATACATTTCATACACAAGGACAGTACAGCTACATGAAGCATATAGGTTCAGAAATGCACTCACCCATATTTTTGCTGTTTTGGATATTCTGAAGATGCTTTACAGTCATTTCGAGGATGTCTGCTTTTTCAAGTTTAGATTGCTATTTTAAAATGAAGCAACAAAAGATGTTAGTAACAAAAACATCCATTATACTGATGAAAAAGCAAACAGTGTTTGTAGACATTTTAAAAAGTGTGCTTACATCAAGCTGAAAGGCCCCAACAACTGTCTCCTTGAGCTGGTCCAAGCAATTGTTAATCCTCTCTCTTCGTTTTCTTTCAATCAAGGGTTTTCTTAACTGAAATGATGAATTGTGGAATGTTAGGAATATATTGTTCTGCCTGAAGGTTTTGATCTAGTTCATCTCATTACTCCCAAACTACAAGTTGAGCAATATCTTGGCTATCCTGACTTTGAACATGACAGCTCCATACAATGATGTTGTGTTACACCCAAGTTATTCTATGAAGTGTTTCACCTAAGATGTTCTTCTCCTTTCTATACATTTTTCTCATTTGGTTTATCTGAAAAATCAGCTGTTACAATTTGTACTTTTCATTTCTCCTTTCAGTGACTGACATATTCTAATTGTTGTCTCTGTTCACTAAACATGGAAATTCACTTGCAAATGATAGTCCTGAAGAACAGATTCATTTTCTGTATGACAACTAATAACTCATTGGCATGTAATACAGTATAGTGAGTTCAGCTGGGCCTTGGGAGGGCCAAGTTCTAGCTCAGCTTTAACCATGAAACTAATGGGATGACCTTGTGGCTCTCCCCCTCCCATTCTCTCTCTCTCTCTGCCTGACCTATATTCACGGGTTTGTTATGATGATCAAATGGGAAAGAGGAAAGATATGCATGCCACCTTGACTTCATTAGATAAAAGATGGACCAAAAATGGAATATTCCATTAATAATACGTGGTGGCGCTGTGGGCTAAACTGCAGAAGCCTCTGTGCTACAAGGTCAGAAGACCAGCAGTTGTAAGATCGAATCCACACGACAGAGTGAGCTCCCCTTGCTCTTTCCCAGCTCCTCGCCAACCTAGCAGCTCGAAAGCATGTAAATGCAAGTAGATAAATAGGTATCACCTCGGTGGGAAGGTAAGACGGCATTCCCTAGTCACGCTGGCCACGTGACAACGGAAACTGTCTTTGGACAAGTGCTGGCTCTATGGCTTGAAAAATGGGATGAGCACTGCCCCCTAGAGTAGGACACGACTGGACTAAAAATGTAAAGGGGAACCAATACAGTACGTGGCTCTAGGACCAGTATTTAAACACTGCATTTGTAAAAGGTTGACTGACATCCTGTTGAAGTTAGTACTGTATAATGTAAAGTCACACCTGTGGATCTGAGCAGGGTGTTACACCCAGGCAGCCCACATAACCCAACTGATTATGTGATTCATGGTGCAATTATTATACAGCGCGACTGTGGAAATCCTTCATGAATATGATTTCCTCTTCAGCACAATTTTCCCTACCAGTTGCATAACAGTGAGTTACACATGTGGAGCAGTACAAAAAGATTTCACATGTGGAGATGCACAACAAGATTGTGCCTCTTACACAAACCCGTATTCTTGCTTTTCTTTTCTTTTGTATACATATCCAGACAAACAAAATTGACAACATTAACTCAAAACTAATGGGGATTACTCTCAAGAAAGTGTGCACAGAATTTCAGCATTTACATTCTCCAGCAACCCAGTTGCTAATGAAGAAACAGGAATCTTGGACTGCAATTCTATCCATAGTTTGATTTCTGTACATATGTGCAAAACTCTCACAGAAGTTTAAGAAAAAAATACTGTGTGCTTTTCATTTAACTTATCTAAACTGGTATTGTTTTATTAATTTGTTGGTGTTCTACAGCCTATCTAATCACTTTGATAGTTTATCTGGCAATTAAATAAAAAGAAATTAAAGCATTGTGGGGGAAATCACGACAACTGAGTCATCAGACCCAGCCAATGCCATCGGGCTTTTCCATAGTAAAAGCAACACCCTGCATTTTTATCACAAACAATTTAAACATGCTGTAAATATGCTTTATTTTAAGCAGGCTTGTTTTAGTGTGTTCCTTGAAGGAAAAACAAACACATCTCAATTTTATATTTTTGCAAGTGTCTGTGTCTACAACAAGAGCTGGTGTATATTAAATATTATACCTTACTTTCCATATCAAATTGCTATATGTACCTTTAGTACAGATCTTGGAAGAGTTACTGTTTTGGACTACAGCATATCAAATAGCACAGAAAAGATGGCCAGAGGCTATGCTGTGAGAATTGTTGTCCAAAAAGTAACTTTTCCAAGTATCATGCTTCTAGGTGAATCAGAGAAAAGTTATATACCAGGAGGGGCTTTTTAGTACAGTATATATATGGGGAGAAAACATTTGGATTTAAAAGCCATAAACACAAACCCTTTCAAATACTGTATATATAGCCAGTAACTCCTTAGTAAATATCCACTAAGACAATTATAAAATGGGACATACCTTCCTGTCCTCTTTGTTGTTAGGAAGTTTCTGCACACCTCCACTGGCCAAGGCTGTGGCAGTCATTGTAATCCACCACCTCACCTGCCCTAATGCTTAGGATAGGAAAAATTGAGAAAACTCTTTAGTGGCTGGGCTGGTGTTCCCCTTGCCTTCTTACGGACTTTCTCTTACATGAAGTCTGTGCTCTGCTTGCATTTATAGCCTGGGATTAGCATGTGAATAAGGGCATTGCTTGGTTCGCCCTCTTTTCCCACAGGAGGGGTTGAGACCAGAAGCTTGTGACTATCAATCAACGCTGACAGGTCACTTCTTTTCAATGGGCAGATCATATCCATGTATACAGAGAGAGAAAGACAGAGAGCTCCCAAACAGCAACAGATGTTTAGTTCCTGCAAAGCTTTGCTCGGCAGAAATCTTTTGTTGAGATATAAAAATGAGAGTACTCAGACTTACATGGCTCTCTATGCAATTGCCACTGATTCCAGGGGATTCCAAGGGAGAGGGGCACTGGAGGCCAAAGCCAGTTGAGTTACACCTGGGCTATTTGGAGTAGTGATTGTCTCTAAATTACTCAAAATTGTCTCGAAAATACTCAAAATCAAAATACTTTTGATTACTCAAATCTTTTGATCTGAGTAATCTAGATCTCTCTTTCTTCTTCCTCCTGTTAGCAGAGGAAAACCTAGAGAGGATTCTTTTAGGAAGAATGCATAGAATTTTTGATAAAGAACCTTCATTGGACCACAAGGCAAGCTTTCAGTTTATCAGTTCTAGATAAATTGCTTGCCTTGTTATCTCATAGCAATATATTTTTAAACTCAGAATTTACTTTCTACTTAAGCATCACATTGCTATTTTGCTAATATACACAATTTGTAATAAAATGGGACCCAGAGCATCATCAGACCACTGTTCAGTCATGGATGACTTCCATATGTTGTCCTATTCATTGTTCTTAAAATAAATTTTTGAAGAACAGAAAGAGACACTCTGTTTTAAGAACATACCCATACAAATATTGCCTTCTAAATAAGTAGAAGGATTGCAATCTTTCATTAATACTGTATCTGAAGGTTAACCCTCCTTATCAGTTAATTGCATGGAAGAGTCTCCTTGTGAAGAAGGGGCTGTGGGGTTATATACCCCACTATGCTGCATATTTTCTTAGATCCATCCTGTCCACAATTTTCATTTCTGTATAGCAGATTCCCTCATCCGTGTTCAAGAGGCATACATCAGGAACAAAGTTAAAGGAGGTCTGTGATGTCAAATTTCTATGCTTACCAATTTTGTGATGATAAAATGCAAGTGGGGGTGGTATATGCTGCTCGGCAAGAGTGGGGGTTGGGGTGCCTTCACCAGGCATTCCAGTGCAGTTTCTTGTGCAACAAGAAGTCTCATCAGTGAGATACAATGGACTCAAGATCAATGTACCCCCCCCCCTTCAAGGAATGAGGAGAGGGAACTGAAGAAAGAGGCAACAGATACATGCTGTTGAGTTCATTGAGTCTTATGGATAAAACACAAACCACCTGATACCTTTGGGGATGGGTGGAGTCAAATGTCCATGCTTAACATCACCTCATACAATATCAGTGCTGCTGAGATTTTTATGTATGCCTAGAAACCTAGAGAAGCATTTGTTGTTGTTGTTTAGTTGTTAAGTCACATCCAAGTCTTTGTGACCCCATGGGCCAGAGCATGCCAGGCCCTCCTGTTTTCCACTGCCTCCCAGAGTTTGATCAAATTCATGTTGGTAGCTTCAATGACACTGTCCAGACATCTTATCTTCAGCCATCCCTTCTCCTCCTGCCTTCACACTTTCCCAACATCAGGGTCTTTTCCAGGGAGTCTTCTCATGATATGGTCAAAGTATTGGAGCCTCAGCTTCCAGATCTGTCCTTCCAGTGAGCAATCAGAGTTGATTTCCTTCAGAATGGATACGTTTGTTCTCTTTGCAGTCTAGGGGACTCTCAAGAGCCTCCTCGAGCACCACAACTCAAAAGCTTCAATTCTTTGGTGGTCAGCCTTCTTTATGGTCCAGCTCTCACTTCCATACATCACTACTGTAAAAACCATAGCTTTGATTATGTGGACCTTTGTCAGCAAGGTGATGTCTTTGCTTTTTAAGATGCTGTCTATGTTTGTCATTGCTTTTCTCCCAAGAAGCCGATGTCTTTTAATTTCGTGGCTGCTGTCTCCATCTGCAGTGATCATGGAGCCCAAGAAAGTAAAATTTGTCACTGCCTTCATATGTTCCCCTTCTATTTGCCAGGAGATGATGGGACCAGTGGCCATGATCTTAGTTTTGTTTTTGTTTTTTTTTGTTTTTTGATGTTGAGCATCAGACCATTTTTGCACTCTCCTCTTTCACCCTCATTAAGAGGTTCTTTAATTTCTCCTTACTTTCTGCAATCAGAGTGGTACTTCTGCATATCTAAGGTTGTTGATATTTCTTCTGCCAATCTTAATTCCGGTTTGGGATTCCTCCAGTCCATCCTTTCGCATGATGTATTTTGCATGTAAGTTAAATAAGCAGAGAGACAATATACAGCCTTGTTGAACTCCCTTTCCCAATTTTTAACCAATCAGTTGTTCCATATCCAGTTCTAACTGTTGCTTCCTGTCCCACATACAGATTTCTCAGGAGATAGATAAGGTGGTCAGGCACTCCCATTTCGTTAAGGAATTGCCATAGTTTGCTGTGGTCCACATAGTCAAAGGCTTTTGCGTAGTCAATGAAGCAGAAGTAGATGTTTTTCTGGAACTCTCTGGTGTTCTCCATAATCCAGCACATGTTAGCAATTTGGTCTCTAGTTCCTCTGCCCCTTCGAAATCCAGCTTGTATTTCTGGGAGTTCTCGGGCCACATACTGCTGAAGCCTACCTTGTAGGATTTTGAGCGTAACCTTGCTAGCGTGTGAAATGAGTGCAATTGTACGGTAGTTGGAGCATTCTTTGGCACTTCCCTTCTTTGGGATTGAAGCATAGCAATCATCTAAGACTTCAGCAAGTGCCCTGAGACCTGGTAACTCTATCCAGGAGTTCTCTGTTACACTTCTTATATCTAATTTGATGTTTCACTCACTATTTTTTTTTTAAGAAAGGAAGTTAAGAGACGAAGGGGAGAGGCAGGGCAGAGGCCAAGAACCTCTGTGCACAGTGAATAAGGAGCTGCCATAGATCCATCAGTGTTTGCTAGGCTTGAAGTCAGACCCAAGGAAAGACAAATAATATCGCCTGCCAGTAGATTTCCCCAGAGATCTATTGGCAGGCCATGTTTTGTCTATGAGAACACACTTCTTGATTTGTCTGCCTTGTTCACATTTCAATGAAGTCATCACAGCTTGATCTTAAATTTGGAATGTGTTTTGATGGGATGACACCTCATGAGAAGTAAAGACAGGGGTCAAACTAGATGATATACAGAGCTCATTTTGAGACATTTTCCTTGAACTGGTGGGTGTAAGAAGAACAACACATAGTTCTTGATTCTTTACCATCCACAAACTAGGCCTTTAGATCCTATCCTAGGAAGATATTTCCCTTCCCTAAGAATTTTTAAGACTATAACTAGATATAATATACCGCCTCTTGGTCGTTTTTTTCCTTGACTTTTTATTTTGTTAAATTCTACCAATCACTTTAGAACAATTGGTAGCTAATAACATAATAACAACCCAGACATCTACAAGTAAAAATTATGTAAACCAGGGGAACCTGGAATAAATATCTATCTATCTATCTATCTATCTATCTATCTATCTATCTATCTATCTTCTATCTATCTATCTATCTATCTATCTATCTATCTATCTATCTATCTATCTATCTATCTATCTATCTATCTATCTATCTATCTATCTATCTATCTATCTATCTATCTATCTATCTATTAATTATGTGGTATACATAGTAAGACAATAAAGACACAAACTTTCCACCAAAAATACCAGTTTCAATAAATAATAACATAAAAATTAAGAATATGGATAACAATGAAAAAAGAACAAAATCTCATGGTAACGACAAAAGTGAGTGAAATAAGGTGCAAAGTATTACAGAAATGCTAAGTTCCTGCCTGTGAGACTATGTTCTTGAAGGACTTCTTGAAGACCTCTACCTTTACTAAGTTTCTGAAAAGTTGGAGGGATGGGGCCTGGGACATCTTTAATAGAAGCTTGTTCCATAGGGTTGGGGCCGCCACCAAGAAGACACTATTCCTAGTTGACACCCTGCAGACCTCGCTCACTATGGCCACCCTCAGTAGTGAGGCCTGGGAGGAACGAGTTAAGTGGGTAGTTGTTCTTTGGTTCCATCCTCCTATATTGGCAGAGACCAAATGCCCCTTACTGCTTTATGCAGATAATGTGGTTCTTCTGTCCCTATCGAAAATAGGACTTAAATGGCTGATCCACACATTTATGGCCTATTGTAAGAACAACCAATTGGTTATAAATTTTGTTAAAACCAAAATTATGGTTTTCGCTCATTCTGTAACACCTAGAAAATGGACAATTAACGGTTCTTGCATTGAGCAGGTAAAACAGCTAAAGTATCTCGGTATTACATTCCACCATAAACTTTCCTGGGCTGCCCATAGACAGTCCATAATCCAAACAGCCCAGAACATGCAGAAAGCTATCTGCCGTTTTTTCTTTACTAAGGGGGGACAATTTATACCAGCTGTTATTCAAGTTTTTAAGCTCAAGATTCTGCCCCAACTGTTATATGGTATACCAACTTGGATCCTAGGATTTCACACAAGTATAGAGAGTGTTCTTTCAACTTTTCTAAGATCCATTCTGGGAATGCCAGGATGCGTCCCTGCAGCTGCCTTATGATTAGAGACTGGTCTAACATCACTAGAATGGAAGGAAGGAAGGAAGGAAGGAAGGACCATGTGTCATCAGGAAAGACCACACACATTTATCCTGTAGTATCATGGATGCAAGCAGCTGAATATGGAATTCAGCAGTATTCTATTTCAATGGCTCGCAAAACATGCTCCATCTTGCACCTTGGCCTAAACTATAATTTCTCCCAAAGCGCTACGTATTTAGAGAATTTGATTATCCCAAAATA